TGACTGGCTCGTCTCCTCCCTGAGACCCCTCTGCAAGGGGATCTCCAGTGGGCCTGGCCTGTTTGTCTGTTTGTATTTAACCAGTAAGTTTGAAGCCCAAATGAAGTGACAGATGGGAACATAATTTGGAAAACAAGATGATGCAGATGTGAGATGAGAGGCATCCTTGTCACCTGGCAGTGATCGAAAGATTCTATCAGCTCTCTCTCCCACTCACCTGCAAGGAAAGACACCAGCCCCTGTCCTGGCCCTGGAGTGTGCTGTTCATCCTATGTTTACACAGACATGTACACACTCAGGCACATAATTATAACAGCACCAATCATGCCACTACACTTAAGGTTCTGTCAGCTTTTCCAATGCTAATTGCTGTTTTTAGGCTTTTTTTTTTTTCTCTCTGAACTTAGCAGCAGAAAATACATTTTGATGTGAAACCAGATATAATACATGGTCTCAGCAGGAGAGCAAATGTCTCCATTTAAAAAAAAAGGGGGAAGACTAGTGGGTCATTTTAGTCATTTCTAAGAGCTGGCTGCCTTTCTGAATATTTGAATAATGGAAGTTGTTTTATTTTAAAGTCACCTGTAAAAAAAAAAAGTGGCCTTATAGTTACAGTTGAGGAGTTGACTTTTTTTTTTTAAAACTATTATCTAAGTGACGAATCGCTTACAGGGTTACAGGTTTCTTGGCTGGGTGGATGTTCACAAAGCACCGACCTGCTCCCCAGCCCGGCTAGGAGCAGGGGGGCAGTTATAGAGTAATAGTTACACTATGCACAAGGCATGCCCTTCCTATCCTGAAAGGGCACACCCCAACCGTCCCTCTGCACCCCTTTCCCTGCTATATTTTCAGGTTGGGACACTGACCACCCGTGACACACACTGTATCCTTGTGTGTGATGCCTCGTCTCCTCCAGAGGGTGTGTACTGGCCGTGGCAAGAGGATCTGAGAAAGTGTCAATCACTGTGTTCTGTCCGTGCTTAGCACGCAGTAGGCACCCCATCAATATCTGCTGGGAGAATGGGCCCATTCTAAATGTTGAATAGTCTGAAACATCAAGTCTTTTAGAATCGAGAGGTGGCCAGGCTCTAGGGTTTATTTTTTGGAACAGATTTTCTCCAAGAAGTTATTCTTTTTCTTTTTAAAAATAAGAGTCAGTGGCTCTAATGGGGTTTCAGGGAGAAGAGTGAGTAGTAATTTTCATTGGTAGCTACTCATTGAGTTTTAAATTGTTTTTATTCCCTTATTTCTTTGACTGCAGACACCTCTGGGATGTGGAGTAATCCACAGCAGAGCACCCATTCCTTCGAAGGGTCCCTCAGCCCTCCTGAGTACCAGCACCCACAACCCCATCAGGAGTGGTTTTAGATACCCCAGGGACCCTGAGGAGGAGGTCACTTTGTCTGGGGCAATCAGAGAAATAGGCCCTCCAATTTTGGCTGTAAAAACCGAATCAAGAAAATGGATCTAGATGGCAAACTAGCCCATCACTTTGGAAAAATACTTTTCAATTTACCAAAGCACAACCTTCTAAGCAGTCACGGCTACAGAATCACTTTAAACTCGGAATGAACACTCAATTGAATGTGAAATTTTGACTGGTGAGCAGAAATTTGAGCGGAGCCATTTATCCCTGGAGAGAGGAGAGATTCCACTCAAGGACAATGGTATTGTTTGCATTGTGAGCTTCCTGGTGGTTGTTCTGCTCGAATAATCTAGACGCACATATTAAAAGGCATGGACTTCTGGAGAAATATGTATGCTTCTTATTATTTGAAAATGAATATGCGATGCCAATAAAATACCTTTACTCCTTTTCCATTTCCAGGCAACCAACTATTAAATAGCAATTACATGTGTAAGGGGCTGCTTACTTTCGAGCACTGCCTTTGCCTTGTGCTTCCATTGCCTCTCTCTCAGACCTGTCCCCTGGCGTTCCTTCTCCCACCTGTCCCTTAATTGTCAGTGGCCCCCAGAACCCTGCCTACTTCTCCTTCCTGTTCTGTACAATCCCAGGCAATGGTACCACAGTCTGGGACTTCAGCCACCACTTGTACGTCAATAACTCTCAAGTACATGACTCCATTGTTGGTCCTCATCCAGGATCCAGCGGTGCAGTGAATTATTTAATATGGTCCTTCTAGTCTTTGTGACTCCCACACAATATTAGGTGGGACTATGCAAATAAGGTACATGTGGCCCACCAAAGGGACTGAACGGCTTGCTAATAATGTAAATAAGTTTCATGGAACCCTGTGGGTGGGACCATGAAAATGAAATGTAACCCTAATGATGGGGTTGGTCAGTTTTTGCCATACCTCTATGCTGAAAAGAAAGTCAATCCCAAAGTGGACCGGGGTGGGGTGGAGAGCACAGGAGGGGGAGGTGGGTGCCTCACCACTTCAAAGAAGGAAGTGCTAGCAATGCAGTGTGTCCTTTGGATGTTGGAATCTCTGTGC